GGCACATCCGGGACCTTCGCATCTCTCCACCCTCCCCCACCCTCTCCCTTCTCCAGGCCGCCCTTCTCTCCGCGGCGGGAATGACTGCGGCTCTGCGGCCAGGGCATTGTGATCAGGGTCCCCGGGAGCAAGGCGAGCGGCTCCTCCGCTACCTTCCCCGGGCTCGCCCGCCCGCCCACCGCTCGCTTTACCTGCTGAGCTGCAGGAAGCGGCCTTAGACCTTTTAAGGCTGGGGAAAGCGCGAGGCTGGAAAGACCGCCCTGCCCTTCGCAATGGCGAGCTCGGCGTCCCGCACCGTGGCAGCCGCGGGGAACAATGGTGGTCTCCGGAAGGAGCGGGCAAAGGCTGGGCTAGGCGGGTTGGACGTGATGGTGCGAGCCTAACCTGGGGCGAGGACACTGCAAGCGAGCTGCTCCCCGCGGGCTACCCTCTGGCCCCCGTCCCTTTCAGGTTCCCTGAAAACGTCCTGGAAGCCACGTTCGGAAGAGTGTTCCTAGGGCCCCAGCTGGCAGTGGGAGGGGGTCGCTCGCTGGGGGAGGAGCGGGGGCGCCTAGGCCCGGAAGAGGGGGAAGGAAAAGAGCGGAAATTGCAGGTGCCTGAACCCGCAAGATCTCCACCCAGTAGACGGAAGCTGAAAGGGATGCCTTCTCAAAATGAAGTATCTGCCCTTGCGCCCTTTTAAATGTGCTCCTCTGCACTAAAGCACCTTTACTGAGCACCTGCCGGGGGGCCTCCACTAAGCACAACTGGGGGAAACCCTCAGAAATTCAGCCCAGAACTCTTCCAGAAGATTCCATGGCAAGTTATTCTTTCCCTAACTCGGTATGTTGGATACATTGTCTGATCCACAAGCTTATCCTACAAATTATAATTCTCCTGAAGTGACAGCAAGAGTTGCCTGTGACCAGGTCAGTTTAGTGTCGTCGTCCCCCACCCCCGAGTTTCCACATCAATAGATTCATAGCAGTGCTGAATAGATGAGCAAAGTAACGCAGGTTTTTATCTCCAAGCTCCTGAAGTCGACTTACTTTGGCTGTCATGTGGATTCTTTCAGGGAGTGACTCACTTAGAATGACGAATATTTCAAAAGCTTGCAGGCTTCCAGTTCTGTAGTAGGCGCTCAAAATTTGACAGAAAGTACTAGGTTAAATCTTTTGTAAAATGGCAGTGGCTGTTAATGTCTGTAATACATGTCTATATGGAATATACACCTCAGGGGAAGTTAAGAGATTTCTCTGCATAGATGAAAGACTTGCTTTAGGAAGTAGCTAGTTTAGGCTTTTACTTTGTGCATAAACAAGGCTTCTTTGCTTGTTTTACTAAATCAGTAAGTGCTTTTAGGTTTTACAAATTCAAACCAACATGTCTACTCAGTAAAGGCATAACAAGGCTGTTCAAGGGGGCAAGATTTGCCATGAACGGTCCTGGTGAAAGGTATTTTGAAAAGTAAGGAATAGCCGGTAGCAAAAGCAAGCAGAACCTATGGACTTGAACTCTGGGGAGCTCCTGGAGACTTTGACTAGCAGCCTGATATGTTCTCTTTTCTTCTCTACTCCAGTCTTCATCTGTTCGATTGTCTCTTCTGTGCCTTGATAGCCGCAGTAATAACATATCAGCAATAAAAACATTATCTGGGCTGAGGAATGAATGTGTGTGCACAGAGGTGTGTGTGTTCTTAGCATTGTTCCAGGCTGTGTTACTGTATTACATTTTGGGAACGGTGAGGTGGTAGATGTCTTCAGTGTTCAAAGACTAGTGAAAAACGAAGTGAAATGCTATTAAAAGCGGCAAGTCTAAAGCTCAGGGATTAGCATGTGTTAGCCCAACACTAACAAGATATACATGATAGTACTATTCATTTCTTCCTGCCCGGAAGACTCTAATGATCTCTCTGGAGTTATGTTACACAGCAGAGTGAGAAAGCCCAAGTAAATTCACATAAATCCATCGTTCCCAGTGGGAAAGGGGATCTTTTCAGTGGCACAACAGTTCCGGCAGGCTACACTCTCACCTCTGAATCCCTTCCATTGAACAAGGCATAGTGTGAAGGGCTTTGAAGTCAGAAGGGGCCAATCTCGCCTTGTCATCTTGAAGGACAATCTTTAGGTTACTAAGCTGGACACAATTCCCAGTCCCATCAGAGCAGTGATTGAGAGTAACGAGTGGGCTACAAACAGAGGTGTATGTTCTCGTTGTCCAGACCCAGCAAGGAGAGGAAAAGCGAGACATGTTGCTCACTGAAGTTGCCTCTCCTGTTGCCACAGTTGGGTCCCCGTCTAGGCTCTTGAAGCTAGGTGTGGCCCACTGACGAACTGCTCACTAGTGGGGTACAAGGTGAAGCCCCTCTGCTTGTGGACCTGGACCATAAATCTTTCCTACCAGGATTATGGTTGGATCCCAAATCTGCCAACCAAATAGCAGACCAAGGCATCTGAGGATGGCTGGTTCATCCTGTATTTTAGTTCAGTTGCTGGAGTTTTGCTCACCATACCTGAAGCCCTGGGTTGGATTCCCAGTGCCACACAGCAGTGGTTGTGGTGACACATTCGTGCGCGTCACTCAGGAAGTGGAGAAAAGAGGATTGTAGCGGGACTGTCAGCTCTGCAATAAAGACATGGAGATTTATTATTGTGAAAGCTTGTCCGATAGATTTGTTTCTAACTAGCTCTTATAACGTAAACTAAGTCATATCTTAATCTACATTCTTCTCATGGCTTGGTTACCGTTACTCTGTACTACCCATCCTGCTTCCTCTGGGCCTCCTGCTGTCTTAGCGGGACTCCTTCCCAGTATCCTCTGTGTTCGGGAATCCTGCTTTGCTAGTAGTGGCTGTAAGCTTTTTATTAAAGTATTCAAAGTGACACATCTTCACTATGTACAAAAAGATTATTACACAACAGAGGATCAAAAATCCAAGGTCACCTCCAGCTAGATCAGATTCTATATTAAAAAAAGAGAGAGGGAGAGAAAATGGGAAATAGTAAAAGAGGAAAAGAAATAATGAAATTCCTGGACATGGCGGTGCACGCCTTTTATCCCAGGACTCAGGAGACAAGCAGGTAGTTCTCTGTGAGTTTGAGGCCAGCTTGGTCTACATATTGAGTTCTAGGTCAATCAGAAGGACTACATAATGAGATGCTGTCTCAAAAAAGAGTGAGAAACTAATCTTATTTTGATAAGATCAGCTATCCATTGACTTCAGAATGACCTCAGAACAGGGCTATTTCCTCAATACACACTGTTTTCATGCTCACACTGCTGCACTCTGTTCTAATGCTCACACTTCACACTCTGTTCTAATGCTCACA